CCCTGCAGTATGTCAATCACTTAGAACTCAGTTTTGCATTTACTCTAAAGGGAAGAGTAAAAAAATGGGCTCTGGAGTCACCAAGCTGATTTTCGGGTTCTGGCTTCACCACTCATTTGCAGCGTGTGCTCAAAAAAGCTAATAATGTCTTTGAGCTTCCATGTCTTCTTTAAAACAGCAACAAGAATAAGAGTGTATCTGCTCCTTGGGGCTCCACAATAAACTATAACCTTGAGTCACTTACTTAACTGCTCTATGATGCTCCTTCCTCCTATTAAATGGGAAGAGTAAGAGTATCCACACCATAGGGTCATTGTGAGTACATTTATAAGTACTACTTGCGTATAGTACAGTAACAGCATAATTACTGCTTTATTAATAGTTCTCATTAAATATTCATTATTATTAATAAAATAATTATGTTTTTCATCCTCCCAGAGACTAGATTCCTGCTCCTGCACCCTAGTTCCCAAGCCTGGGTTCCTCTATTGGCTGTCACACTTACAGCATGAACCAGCTTACTCCTCACACATATTTTACTTCCAGACAGCCTTTCTTAACGTTCCATCTGACTGTTCTGATATTTCCTTAGAGTCCACTGCTGTGACCTGCCTAGAGCCCCAGCTGGGGCCATCTAGTTTCCAGGTCCTGCCTTCCCTGGACTCCCGCCCACTGCCATCAGGGTTCCCCAGTTCTGAACATACCTCCTATCTGTGGCCAAAAGCCAGTATTTGCAAGACAGTGGTCAAGGTGAAAGAAATCAGAGCTAAATGGCTAACCCAAAGATCAGCCCTGATCTTGGCTCCGTTAACATGAGTATATGAGTCACTGAGCTGAATAGTGTATGCACAATCACACAAAGTCAAAAACAGACATTCTGCTTTAAATGAGAATATTTGGGCTGTTTTCCCTTGTAAAAAGTTTGCACACAGATGACAGAACGTGGTTACTTTAGTAAATGTTTTGTAATCTAGTTAGAAACCATATGAGTAATGGTTGAAAAAAAATCATGGATATGATCTTATTTCGGTTTCAGAGAAATTACAAATCTTGATAAAACATATCAAGGTCTTTGCACAATTTTGATAGTGTTCAGCCCATAAAACCTCCTAATATTTACTTGCAGAGGTTTTCTGAGAACAGATCTAAATTCTACGAAAAGACCCCAAAGACTATGTTCAAATATAAAATTNCACTCTTCAAATTCAGTACTGTGGTAAGGAATCATGATATTCCTGGATAAGCCAGCTAGAATGACTATTAAAAAGAAGCAATACACAAACATTTTGCTGAAGGGCTTCATACATTAAATCCATATTTCATTTAAACAAATCTTTACAGCATTCTGCCTTGTTCAAGTGTCCTGAGTGTGGCAGGTGCTATTTAAAAACGGTGGCAATAGTGTCTGGGAAGTATATATAAAGAAAGACTTCAGAAGATAAAGCAACAGCTTTTTCTACTTTGATTATCATTAACCAGCACCATAAAATGTGAGTTAGCTGCAAGTAAGCACGCGGGTAAGCTTTGTCCACCAAATATAAGGCACTAGTACAGAGATGAATTCTCAGGAAGAACAAGTTACTTTGGAAGGGCTCCCTGTGTAAGGTTTTTAAAAGTGACTGACAACAATTTAACTGTGAAAGAAAAGAACATTAAGGTGTAAGTGAGTAAACTGAAGTAAGGTTTGGTATCAATTTTTGTCTCTGGGAAAGAAAGTTGAGAGTCAATTCCTTCAGATAAAATGTGGCTTAGGTTGGTTTAAGGATGGAGTTGAGGCATGCATTTCTCTATGCCGCTTTTCCAGCACTGTACTGCCTGTAGTGGAAAAGACTCTTGGAGTCCACACTGCGAGATTTCTGCACAGCTTCAGCAAAAAGTTTGGTCACCTGAAAATATACAGGTAGGAATCTTAGCAACCCACATGATATGAAAGTGAATATTCAATGTAGCAGGAGTAAAAAGTCAGTTTCTGCTTCCAGTTTTCAAAGGGGTATTGGATAAAAGAAAAAAAAATTAATGGGGACTTTCTCCTACATCTCAGAGCTCACCATGAATAAGCTTATCACACCCCCACTCCCCGCTTTCTCCCCCCCCCATAGAGATTCAAACTGACTCAGGGGAAAAATATGATGGGCAGAAAGTTAATGAGTCTTTAACAATAGTCCTTCTCCCCATGATAAAGAACTCAGTGAGTCATGTCCAAGTGGAACTGAACACATCTCGTGCGCTATTTTCTGTGAATTGGACAAATGCTTGCACTGTATCTGATCTTCAATTATCATTAACCTGTTGCTTTTATGTGGTGGATTTCACTTAGAAAAACAGAATAAAAGTTTGTCTCTTTATACCATGCCACGCCATACTTTTTATTTAAAGGATAAGTGTATGGGTAATGAAGGGCCAGGGCTAATCAGTGGCTTTTGATTATCTCAATTCCTTGATCACCAACTGTCTCAGGCCATGACCTACCATAATATCAAAATTATTTTAGATTCTATCTAGAAACTCTTCTCCATTCTGAAAATGTTACAAGAAGTGGAGGAAAGAAATGTGCATAGATCGATGAACATTCTTCAGGGAGGCACAGAAATAAAAACCCTCACGCAGCCTGTATTTGAGAAAAACAGCATACCTGGAAATTAGTGAGGAGAGCAATTCCGCTGTCAACAGCTGTCCTCCGAATCACATAATTATCATGGACAAACTTGGTGTTGTTGTTGGGGAGGTTAATCACCAGGTCAATGCTGCCGTCTCTGATCAGCCTGGCAGAATAAACAAAATGAACAAAAACTTGCAGGTGACCATGTATATTTTATTGTTAGTTTTCCAAGTACTAACATAAATGATGTTCTTAGCCATTTAAGTCAATGCTATACTAAGATGACTGCCATTTGTCCTCCTCTAGCCCTAAGTAAATGTTCAAATTGCACTGTTTGGGGGCTATGTTATATTTTTTTTATTGTGCTCTTGGAAGAGTTCTGGTGAAAGTCTAATTGAATAGAAAAGTTTGTGTTCTCTTTAAAATGCTATCTGTCCTTAGGAAGAGTTGGTAATTTGATAGATATGGACTTATTTTACAAGGAGGTTGTTCCTCCAGCATTGAAGTCCATTCTACCACGACAGCCTCACTACCAGATGAACTTGACTTCACTCCCTGCCTCCCAGGGCCTCTCAGCTGCTGCTAAGAGAAGGCAGGTCACCTTATTTTGAATTAAACTATGTTGCATTCTTTTGCTAGGCTGCTACACACACTCGAAGTCATTTAAATGTCAAAAGCAAGAAGTAATGTTAATGATTGTTTCACACAGGTCTAAGCAAGGGTTTATAGCATCTTTGGAAGTTTACTAAGGTCTGAAAAATGTGCCCTTCTTTTAT